GGGGCGAGCCGGGAAGGTGGGGGGGAAGGGAAAGGGGGGGATGTGGAGGAAGGGAGGGAGGGAGGGAGGGGGGAAGGGAGGGGGGGCAGAACGGGACACTACCTCCGCCGTTCTACAAACTCTTAACATCTTTCCATTCGGAATTGAACAACATGGAATACTCCAGCCCCCTCACCGCCACCACACAGACAGTGACCATAGCTTCCGATTTTTAGGTATTTTTGTGCTTTTGATTTTCCGCTGTACAATTTCTTCGACCTGTTTTCGATTTCCATTCACTTCCCCAGGTTCGAGTCTCTCAGTGCCCAGAATTTATTGCAGATGTTGGCGGTGGCCGTCATTACGGGTCTGCTGTGGTTCCAGCGGGGCAGGGGCTCCCAGATCTCTGCGGGAGCGGATGTGATGGGTCTGCTGTTCTTCGAACTCCTCTTCCCGTCATTCCGGTGGGCGCCGGGGCGAGACATAGCGAAAGAGCTGTATGTATGTTGTTACAGGGTGGTTAACTTCGCCAGCGGCCCCCTTTCCCGGGGCAGTCCCTGCTCTCCCCTGCTAGAGGGGCACCCTAATCCGTCACCCCATCCGACTTCAGAATGTATTCGTTGGGTTCGGCAACTCATCACCAGCATCCAACCAAATCTAGCGGATCAACGGCGCATCAACTTAGTTCCTGGTCAGCTCGCAAGTTGATATTATCACGTCCTACACCGTCCATATGATGGGGGGCCACCTCCCATTTCATCACTCCTCAAACATCCGAGGAGCTGGCAGGCGGATTTGAACCCGGGTCGACTGGATCGACTGGGAGCAGAAGTCAGGCCTTAACTTCTGCCAGCCGCCTGCCTGTATGTATGCTCGTTTGTTTGCATGTTTGTATGTGTGTGTATTGTGGATTGCGAACGTGAGTGTGTACGGGAATTATGTGTGCGCGGATAGCACCGTTGGGTTCGAGGGGGAGGTGTGGGCAGCCCCCTCGCCTGCTCACCTCCCGTAATGGAAGAACAAAACACACATACACACACACATACACACGCACGCACAAAGGTGCACACGCAATCAATTGATGTTGCCCAGGGTGCTCCTCCCCTACCCCCCACCCCCCACCCTCCATCCCCTACCCCTCACCCGCACACTTCGCCGCCGTTCAGGTCTCTCTTCTCTGCGCTGTTCACCTTCCCTAACGAGTACCGTATGCTGAAGAAGGAGCGACCCGCGGGTTAGTCACGTTGCGGCATCTTGCTGTGTATCTGCGTGTGTTACGCACATTGTGTACATATGTATGTATGTGTATCTGGTGTGCATGTTTGTACGGCAATTCAGGTTGTACGGCTGTATGTCTGTCACTCGCTAATAAGTCCCGGAGGGGTCCGCCCCCTCAGCACACACCGGCCTCTCAATACGGTGTACGTACGTATGTATGTTGTTACAGGGTGGTATAGCTTCACCAGCGGCCCCCTTTCCCGAGGCAGTCCCTGCTCTCCCCTGCTAGAGGGGCACCCTAATCCGTTCACCCCATCCGACTTCAGAATGTATTCGTTGGATTCGGCAACTCACCACCAGCATCCAACCAAATCTAGCGGATCAACGGCGCCTCAACTAAGTCCCTGGTCAGCTCGCAAGTTGATATAATCACGTCCTACACCGTCCATAAGATGGGGGACCACCCCCCATTTCAATACCTCTCACATACCGAGAGGTCGACAGGCGGATTTGAACCCGGACACTCCGGGATCAGAAGTCACACATTAACCTCTGCCAGCCGCCTGCCTGTGTATATGTGTATGAGTGTGTATGTGCTTACTCCAAAAACCATGTTACACCATAAGACACGTGCGCAAACACAAATCGCGCCAAAGGGGTTAGGGCTTCTTGCTCCCCGTCTCCATTCCTCCCGAGAACATTTTTTTCCCTGTACCACCTAACCACCTAACCACCTGACCGCCCAACCGCCCAACCACCCGAACTCCTCAGGCATGTACCGGCTATCCGCCTACTACCTGGCCCGCACCGCCTCCGACCTGCCCATAGAGCTCATGTACCCCACCTTGTTCGTGACGGTGATCTACTGGCTGGGGGGGCTGAGACCCACGGCGGGTAGGAGGGGGGGAGGGGGGGGGCCAGGGCCGAAACACACACAGCGCGGGGGGGAGGGGCAGACGCACACGGCTGGTTAGTGTCGTGTTAGTTCCGTCCCCCGGTCAGACCGCGTACGAGGGGTACGACAGCCGGCACTAAGCAGCGCTCCCACCGGGGGTTAGCGCACCAGCTAAACGGGCTCTAGATCCGCTAGTCACCTAACTAACACGAAGTCGCGACCGGGGAGTTCTTCCTACGGGGACACGAAGTACAGGAAAAAGAGCTCGCAACCAGGACCTGGGCGACCGGGAGCCCGACGAGTCATCCCGGGCTGGGGAGGTCAACAAGCCTCCTCACCAAAACGCCTCAAAACAGAAAGAGCGCGGAAAGAGAGCTCACACAAAACACCACACGACGTGTGTATTGCCTTCGGACACTCGGGTCTTCCGCGCTCAGCCAGCCAGGGGGCGGCTCCCGGGCGGCCGGCGCTTTTACGTCCCCTCCGCTCACGTCGCTTCTGTATCTTCTAGTAAATCTTGTAAGATACTGGCAGCTATTACTATTTAAAAACGTCCTATGGGGTATAGACCCAGATTAATGAACCTCTCGCTATCGCAGAGGGATTTTTTATCATGTTAAAGTTGAAGGCAACTTCTAAGGCTAAACATTCGGGAAAATCCGATAAAAGGTTTTTAGCATAATAACGGCTTGTTTATTAATTATGCTTTTGACAATTGGCCTTTTTAGTTTTTAGTTGTTAAAGAACGAAACCCTGAAGGACCCGCCCTCCCCCCTCCG